TTAATAATACAAAAGAGTTTAACATAATTAAATACCCTATTGGCTTACATCTTTCCAAGCCTTGACTTGGTTACACAAAAGGGGACTAGCTCATATACATTTAGCCCTAGGCTTTACAAAAATATACAATTCAAATTTAAGAAGCTCTTGCCCCTAAAATATCCCTCCAAGTTATTGCCTTGGTGGAGGTACGACACCAACATCTAAAAATAATGTTATTTCCAATTAGAGTGAGCTACAGCCCAATAGAAATCATCTAGCACAATATATAAAACTTAGCAAAGATATAAGTACACTATGCATACACAACGTTAGTGATAAAAACATCCATGGTTTATATAATCATAAGGTACCAATTTCCATTCATTTCATTACATAGACCAATTTCATTATCTCTTTAACAATCCAAATGAGACTTCAACTCATTAGTTCTACAATCACATCAACAATGCACAAACACTTCAAACTTTTCTTTCACGGAAATTTCGTCCGCGGGTAGCCGTCAAACAGGACCCGTGTAAACATAGGCTATACAAGCACTACAATTGTCATTTTACGGATATTTCATCCGCAGGTTAGGTACTCATGTATAATTTCGAGACTTTCACTCGCGACACTCCGGCCAACTTAATTATGATGGACTCCATCTCCTTTCTCCTCTCAAACAATCATTCATACATATGTAATGTATTTAAACACAACATCAAACAATGGAACACATCCCATTTCCACTCCCACATAATCATACATGTACAATGCAAATAAACATAGTCATATTCAATGACAAACAACAAGAGATTAGTTTCAATTCACCTAATCCTTATGTAATGTCTACAACAATCATAGCCATCCTCCACCGATAGCCTAGTACAGTTATTTCTAAACAGATATTCAATCTCGTGACAGATAATTTATTCAAATTTTCAAAGAATAAGTTAATGCATAACTTATCCCATCATTCATATCAATACTCTCTCTCAATTTCACATTTTCAATAACAATTTCAATTATCTTTATAAAATAATCATGATAATCATTTTAAAGCAAAACTTCCCCTTTTCTAATTATCAACCCAATATCATTTCCAACCATTGTGACCCAACATCACTTCATTTTCACAACCCACATTCATGTATTTCATGTTTAACAACAATCCCTCTTTCCATATATACCCAAACCCTAGGTTTGCTTACAACACCCTCAACTCACATCATTATCATGCAAGATACAAATAACTAAGCTAAATAACATATGAAGGTATAGAAAAGAACCCTACCTTAAAGGAAAAAGATAAGTCAAACAAGAGAGAAATTCTGAGAATGCAGAAACTCACTTCTATTCAGATCAAAATGTAGATCTTGACGAGCTCTACCTTTTTCTCAAAGGCACTAGGGTGAAAAGATCAATGGATCTAGATAAAATCTAAGAGATAAGGTTAATTCTAGAGAGAGGGGTTCAAGAACAAGCTTTTTAGAAAGTTTTAGAGAAAGAAAGTGACTCAAGATGCCATCTTCTTGGACTGAGCGTCAGACACAAAGTTCCGCTCGAGCGTGAAAGTTGGCGCTCAAGCGTAAAATACACATTTCCAGAAGTATTGTAGACGAAGGTCCTCGCTCGAACGTAGGCCTAGACGCTCGAGCGTCCAAAGCACTTTCCCAGTATTTCAAAACTGCAAAAGAAATACTCAGAATTGACAAATCCCGCTTGAGCGGATGAGCAAAATTTGTGAATCCCGCTCAAGCGAAAGAACCAAAATCTGGGCAACAAAAGTTTGAAAAAAAAACAGCAACCAACCTGTCCCAAACGCACAACCACAACCACAACCACAACACGATAACTAAAATAAAAGGGAAGACAAGGGAAAAGATATGAATAACTATTCAAAACCAAACTAACCCGAGTCCGGAAAATAATAAGCAACGGTAAGTTTTAGAGAAAGAAAGAGATATGAAAAAGTGACTCAAGATGCCATCTTCTTGGACTGAGCGTCAGACACAAAGTTCCGCTCGAGCGTGAAAGTTGGTGCTCGAGCGTAAAATACACATTTCCAGAAGTATTGTAGACGAAGGTCCTCGCTCGAACGTAGGCCTAGACGCTCGAGCATCCAAAGCACTTTTCCAGTATTTCAAAACTGCAAAAGAAATACTGAGAATTGACAAATCCCGCTTGAGCGGATGAGCAAAATTTGTGAATCCCGCTCAAGCGAAAGAACCAAAATCTGGGCAACAAAAGTTTGAAAAAAAAACAGCAACCAACCTGTCCCAAACGCACAACCACAACCACAACCACAACACGATAACTAAAATAAAAGGGAAGACAAGGGAAAAGATATGAATAACTATTCAAAACCAAACTAACCCGAGTCCGAAAAATAATAAGCAACGGTTCAAAATCGGAATCGCTATATTGAATCCACATCACTGATATCAAATCCATGACGATAAGCCACTCAGAAATCCATCAAAACTTCAAGCCCAAGTCTCCCTGAATCCACCGAAGAACACCTCTCTCTTTTGTGAATAAAAGAATAAAGACAAATCCCTTAATGATACCAATATAAAACTCGTAGATCCATCAATCACTTTCAAATCATTAAGAAAACCCTTATAAAAATACCCTGAAATATATAAAATCTTGGTAACTCTACTCTCTCAGAATTTGGACGATTTAAACCCTAAAACCAGTAAACGACGCACTTTATAGTAAATAAGATCGCGAAGACCGCTCGAGCGCATACTTCACCGCTCAAGAGGTGTTAGTAAAGACGGTGCAAAGCTGATTGCAAAACATATAGGCCGATCGCTCAAGCGCACATTTTACTGCTCGAGCAGTGGAACACCTCCCAGAAATTCAGTTTGTAAGCCAGATGCTCCTATTTACTGCTCGAGCACACAAATTACTGCTCGAGCAATCAAACAATTTAACTGCAAAACTCCTTTGCATAGGTACAATTCGAATTGGATTCGTATCTAAACACTCATAATCTCGCATAAACAAAAAAGCGAATAAAATTATAACTGGAAGAAATTTTTTCAAATGAATTTACCAATTATAAAAACCTAATAAAATTTATGAACCAAACACAACATAACTATCGACCTTTACGAAATATTCTGGTAGTGGGACTTGTAAATAGTCAAAATCAAAGTTAATATTTAGTTAGGATTAATATGACTATATTCGATAACTCATATTTGTATTTTTAAATCCATAGACTAAAAGAACATAACAGTATTTTCCTGCTATGAATTTTACCTATTTTAACATCGGGATTGAAGAAATTCATCGTGGTCGTGGCCTCTATGGCTGCCTAGTCCTCAAGGTCGAGGTTGGCCCATCAAATTGAGGCTAACCACCTAGACCCATATTTAGGCCAGATTGGCCCGTTTAATGAAGTTTGGTTCCAAAGTGGTAACAAAAAAGAATTGCATTAAATTGGTCCAGCCCATTACCAGAAACTAAAATGTAATGAAAGATCGGAGTAGGCCCAACGTACAAGCCTCTGATCGCCGGAGAATCAGTCGGCCGGTGGAATTCATCGGAGCAGTGTTGTCAACAGCTTCACATTTGTGTGCATGGTCCGGATTGGTTCAGTTCTGAGAAAATCCAAGAACTGAACCGATCCTAACGGTTCTGTGATTTTGAGAATCAGACCAGACCGTTACACTTGTAAAACCGGACCATAACCAAACCGAAAAAACTGTTCGGTTTCGGTTTGGTTTACGGTTCCAAAAATTTTTATTTACAAGAATAAATTGTTAATATTAGCAAAATAATTATTCAAACTAATTACATTTAACTCATGATAAAAACTAATAATATTAAGGTATTACTTAGCCTCCGTTTGGGAAGTGGGTTGGCTTTTTGGCTTTTTGACTTTTTTGGCTATTTTAGTCTGGGCTTAAAAGCTTGGTTTGGGAAGGACTTTTTGGTTTTTTGACTTTTTTGAGTTTTTTGTGAGAGAAGAATGTAATGATTATGGGTTGGATGTGATGTTTTGTTTGTTATGGCTAAAATAGCCTATTTTGTTTTTTGTGGCTAAAATAGCCAAAAAAGCCCAAACCAATTAATAAAAATAAAACTTGATATTATATATATATCTTTTAAAATTCAGTTCGGTTCGGTTCGAACCGCGATTTTTCATAAAATCTATTAGCCGAACCGTTTTTACAGTTCTCATATTTCTTAATCCGAAAACGAACCAATTCTTAATAGAACCGAACCAAACCACATGATTCGATCTGGTCCGAATTACCGATTTAAACGAATTTTTGAACAGTCTTTGCTATCAAATCGATACCAATGTTTATCAATCTCTCTATATACACATATTGTAAATTCTGTGATCATTTTGAAAAATGGGAGGAAGGGGAGGGTGTTGTCTGATGATGGATCTGTTGCGGTCGGAAGTCAATGCAGTTGGTGCATCTAATCATCCGTATCAAATCTGATCATCACGCCATTTCATATGTCAGAGACCTTGACCTCTTTCAATTCATGTAGCTTAAATAGGCGTAAATACATTTATTGTGTACCATTTCTTGACGATGATCATCAACCTGTTGATTGAATTGCTTTAGGATCTTTTTATTCTTTTCTTTTTTTTTGAACAGTTGAATTGCTTTAGTCTGAGACCTTATTTTGGTTCTTGATTGGCTGTTTTTGAGCTTATATTGTTTGATTGACTGATAGAGTTTCATTACAGCTTCATTTTATTAAAATTAATCAAATTGGATAATGTTGATGACTGACAAAATTTCGGGAAAATGATCTTATATGGAACACATTGGAGCAAAAAGAATCAATTTTTGTTGAAGTCCCTACCATAGATGTGATCTTTGAAACTTGAAAGAACTCGAATGACCTTTATATGGAACAATATAGAAATGATTGCGCAATTTATCATTCATTCATATGTTATGCTAAAATGATTTAAGAAATTTTTGAAATAGTTGAGAAATTATTGGACCATCACATGTATTAGAATCAACAAACAAACAGACAACAATCACGAAATGAACTTGGAATTACCATAATAAAAGCCATTAGGAGTATATTACATATCCAATCCAGTCATGTTCATACGTGCCTTTGAAAACTAACAGGCATCAATCAGAATGGTTGGTTTGCGATACCGTCATTGCATAGTTACATATAAGCCAAGTTCAACAAACTAAAATAGGACTTCAATAATACAGAAACCTAAACCAGAATCTACTTAGTGATATGGACAGCAGCAACAGTTGAGACCATGGAATCGACACCACATAGGTTATGAGCCTTGGGACCTCTGCAGAGATGGTAATAACCGTTTTCTCCCCAATTTCCTCCCCATGAATTCTTTATGATCCAGTAAGGCTTCTCCTTGAACCGGATGGTGGCATAACCAGCAGATCCATACCCTACCAAAAGCACTCCGTGATCCAAATGCTTTCCGCATATGTACGGGCATGAAACTCCCCCTATGTAAGTCTGCATATAAACTGCATTGATTCCCACTGCACCCCAAAGAAAAAATACCAGTCAGTATGTTTGCAGCTCCTTCATCATTTTAATAGAATAAAAATAAAAACTAGAAAACCAGGCATTGATTTTAAAGACAGCTAACTACCCGCAAGGGGGCCGTTCTTGACAAGATTCGCAGCTACTTGGTCTTCATCAACGGAAACAACACTGAAGTTAGAAACCGATGCAGCAATCTTGCTCTTGTCAAATTTGCAGGTGCCACGATCTTTCCCAGTGTAAGGATAGTCTGACTCTCTTTCAAGTCCGCCAACCTTGAGTGTGTACTCAAAGGCCGTGGTCATCAGTCCACCATTGCACCCTGAATCGCATGAACGACGATCCTCTGGATCGCACTGCAAAAATCACATACTTGATAAGTCATACCAGTGAGAGTGGTTGATTTTTATACAAATAACTTCAATTCACCACAATCCCATAGACAAACACGGTAGCGAAGGATCAAAAACATGTTATCAAGACATTACAAAACACTAGCTAGACACATGCTTGCTTGGAAATGACATGCTACTCTCTGTAATTTACCGATGGGATTTGAACCATTAGTTCCAAGTGCAAAAATGCAAGTTCAGGTTTGAGGGCAGCCTCTACGTGCTAATAATGCCAAGGTTATACACTAATTAAAGAGCTGCTTATTCTACTTCTACAATTCACTACTACTGTATGGCCATACACAATTGAATACAGTAACGGTTCTGCAGCCTCTATGTGCTAATAATGCCAAGGTTATACACTAATTAAAGAGCTGCTTATTCTACTTCTACAATTTACTACTACTGTATGGTCATACACAATTGAATACAGTAACGGTTCTGTTTAGAGATCAACATGCCAAATAACAATGAACATATAGCCTTCTGAATGTAACTAGTACTCGTAATAAAAAAATTAAGATTGCAATTCAAAAATATATTGTTGAGGGGTTTAACAACATAACTCTTCTATGAAAGTAAATGGGTAGTAGTATTGAGTAGATTTTAAGTGAAAATAGATGTTACAATCTCTTCACAACTCCCAAATTAGGACAGCGTATCAACAATCTATCAAAAATCTTGCAATAGATCAGCCAAAAATCCAATAGGAAGGCCGCATGCTTGGGTGTCATATGCCCTTACACTTTTTAAAAGAGAGAATTTGGCAAAGCAAGGTTAACTGAAAAAAAAAATCAGTAATTTCACCAGAAAAATAACTCAATTTCATAAACATTTTCCTCTGTATTTATTATGAACTCAAAGGTCATATTTGTTTGGACGAATTAAATAAGGGAGATTGTAATCCATTGAAATATTAATCCTCATATATATAGTCCCGGACTATTTAATTGGAAATAATGTATATCCCATGTTTGTTTTATCATAGGATTAGATGTATAAAAATGATTATTTTATTAAATTCAATGTTTGATCAAAATATTATGAAAAAGAATAAATACTTAATAGACTATTTTATCATTTTCAATTGTTTACTGAGTAATAGCAATACTAAATATGTCTTTAATATTTTAATTATTTTTGGATAGATTAAATAAAAAATTATTTTATTTTATTTTCTAAAAATTAAATAAATTTATTTTTTAATTAACTAAATTAAATAAATAAAACATCAATCAAAATTTATGTTATTTTCAAAATAAAATTTATAATGAAATGAAATAAAATATCAACAAAAACTTAAAATAAAACATCAATAAAAAATCTATAAAAATTTATTTAAAAAATTAAGTAAATAAACATCAATAAAAATTCAATAAATTTATTTTATTTTATTTTTAATTGAGATTTTTATATTTTATTTTATTTTACTAAATACAATGAAATCAAGTACCCAAATGTGTCATTTTATTACCTAATCCATGAAATTCCAATCCACCATTTCTATCCCACATCTCCTACTCCTCATTCGGCTTACAAATTCTCAACCAATAGACTCCAGGATAGATTAGACATGGAGTCCAATTCTCCCCTTCAATCCTTCCAAACAAACAGCCCCAAAAGAGTATGATAAATTGGTCCAACAGTCCAAATCTCTTTCAAAATTTCCAACAACCCACAACCTTTCTCAAAATATATACATATACACATGAGCTGCAAAAGATGTATAAAAACTAATAATGAAAAAATCTATAAGCAGCTCAAATATGAACTTAAAATTAAATACAATCTAACAAAGGGGAAAAAGATCGATGATCAACATAATATATATAATCAGAGCCAATGGTCAACGGACAAACCTCATGGTCACAATCCACAAGCTGTTGTTCACTGAGGCTCACAAGCTCTCCAGAAGCAAGAAAATGAGCTCCTTCCAACGCTCCAGTTGCGCTAAAAGACCAGCACGACCCACACGATCCCTAAAATTTCCCAAAAAATAAAACCAAACAAAATCAAGACCACCACAAAACATGATCATATGCATATAGAATCAATTACATACTTGATCTTTCACGGCAGTGACGGCACCGTGATCACGCCAATCGAAATCGGTAGGGAGATTGTTAGTGGGGAGGATTGGGGCTTTCTGAGCGTCGGACGGGAGCTTGAGAGGCCGCTTCAGACCTAGAAATTTATGCCGGAACTCCGCCGGAGTAAGGTCGGAGAACTTTGTGACGCCGTGCACGGCGGAGGGGTCGAGAATCTGGTGGCGCTTGGCTCGGCGGAGGTTAGACTTGAAGACCCCAAGCCTGTAATCGTGCTCCTCCTGCGTAGCATAGGACTTGCCGTACTTGGTCTTGAAGAGAGAGAAGTGGTGATCGGCGTTGAGGAGATGATCGTCGCCGTCCGATACGACTTGACGGATCAGGAGATCGTCGGAGGATGCGGACTCATCGGAGTCAACGGTGGAGGCTGCCTCAGCTAAAGATAGGTATGGTAGGAGGAGGAGAGAGAGGAGGAAGAGAGAGAGGCGGTCTACTCGTAATAAAAAAATTAAGATTGCAATTATGAGGTGAGGTGAGGTGAGGCGAGGCGAGGTGAAGAGGTAGTGTATAGAGAGAGATATTTGATGTGTTGAGACGGATCCGCAGTTGCGTATTTGGTGTTAGTGGTAGGTGGAGTTTGGGCCGTTGCGATGTTGACACGTCTGTGGATTCTATTACTGATATCATCTGGAAATTTTAGGATATTCAGGATTGAGCAACAAAAATAGAGAAAAATATCTCGGTTTCTTCACTGCCAATAAAGTTGGGCTCCAGATTTGTCGGGACGTTAATTATTGCCGGTTTCAAAATGTCCGTTACACCCTTTGGCCTTGTTGGCAAAGGAATTTTTTTTCCTTCTTATTTTTAGATTAAAATTCACACAAAAATAGTAAAATATCTTAAAATAATTAATAAAAGGAAGAATTATAAATAAAATTTCAAGTTTAGCGTGTTTTGCAATTCAAACCCTAGATTTTTAATTTTGTCAATTAAAACCTTATAGTTCATTCTGTGTCACAGTATAAGCTCTCATCCATTTATGTTTCATGAAATAACGGAAAGAGTCATTTTTAGTGCCAAAATCAATTCAAAACGACATCATTTAGAGAGAGTAACGGAAATATTTTTCTTTTGACACATGTCATTTTTTTAGGAAAGCTTTTTTGATAAATCTACTTTCTAAGAGTTTTATTCCATCCAATCCATATTCTTTTTGACTATTCCAATAGGTCCTATTTGGGATAAGAATACCAAAATACCATTTTCATCTACTTATATTTCATTTAGTTCACATTATTTTCTTATGTTTCAATAAGTCCTGTGGGTGACATAATTATCAAAATACCCCTAATGTAAATGTTCACACCGTCAATGTGAATGTTCATATCGTCAATGTGTAGGGGGCCCGGTCCATGTCGATCCTCGTGGGTGCCCGGAAAAATTTGAGTCCGGCCGAGACGGGCCCAGCCCGTTGACAATGTGAATATTCACATTGACATGTTAACATTCACATTAATAGGAGTGTAAAATTGGCCCGCGTCTCGTGGCGGCGCGAAAACCGCCCGCGGCCCAGGCGGGCCCGGTCCGACCCGTTGACAATGTGAATATTCACATTGACATATTAACATTCACATTGATAAGAGTATAAAATTGGCCCGCAGCCCAAGGCGGGCCCGGTCCGGCCTGTTGACAATGTGAATATTCACATTGACATGTTAACATTCACATTGATAGGAGTATAAAATTAGCCCGCGCCTCGTGGCTGCTCGAAACCCATCCACGGCCCGTGGGCGGCCCAGGGCGGGCCCGGCCCAACCCGGCCTGTTGACAATGTGAATATTCACATTGACATGTTAACATTCACATTGATAATAGTATAAAATTGGCCAGCGGCCCAAGGCGGGCCTGACCCCGCCCGTTAACAATGTGAATATTCACATTGACATGTTAACATTCACATTGATAAGAGTATAAAATTGGCCCGCGGCCCATGGGCGGCCAAAAGCCTGCCCGCGGCCCAGGGCGAGCCCGGCCCATCTCGACCCGTTGACAATGTGAATATTCACATTGACATGTTAACATTCACATAGATAGGAGTGTAAAATTAGCCCGCGCCTCGTGGCTGCCCGAAAGCCGCCCAAGGTCTGTGAGCGATCGAGGCGGGCCTGGCCATTTTTTTTTTAATTCTTTTTAATTTTTTCTACCAAAATGTTATTATTTTTCACAAAAAAAGACACGAGACCTCGGCGCAGGTCGGGCCTCGGACTGACCCTTGAATGGGCCTTAACCGAGTCGATAGGCCGAGCCGGGCTTCAAAGTGATGGCCCAGGCCCTAGCCTAGGGTCTCGGACTAGGCTCGAGCCTAGGCCCAAACGAGCCTTTCCCAGGCCGGGCCAGGTCGACCCACGGGCCAAAAAATTAGGCATAGGCCCTAGCTCTGGCACAAGAGTATTCGGGCTTTGGAAGGGCCGATGGATCGAGCTTTGGGTTGGCCCGGTAGGCCTGGGCCTAGCCTCGAGCTTAGCTCGGGCTTAGCCATTTTTTTTTAATTATTTTTAATTTTTTCTACCAAAATTTTATTATTTTCCACAAAAAAATACATTGCGTCTCGTGCTGGCTAGGCCTCAGACCGAGCCTTGAATGGGCCTTAAGTGGGCCGATGGGTCAGGCCGGGCTTCAAAGTGATGGCCTAGGCCCTAACTTAGGGTCTCGGACATGCTCGGGCCCGGACCCAAACGAGCCTGCCCTAGGCCGTGGGCGGGCTTCGGGCAGCCCACGGGCCGCGGGCCAATTCTACATTCTTATCAATGTGCATGTTAACATGTCAATGTGAATATTCACATTGACATGTTAACATTCACATAGATAGGAGTGTAAAATTAGCCCGCGCCTCGTGGCTGCCCGAAAGCCGCCCAAGGTCTGTGAGCGATCGAGCGGGCTAATTTTACACTCCTATCAATGTGAATGTTAACATGTCAATGTGAATATTCACATTGTCAACAGGCCGGGCCGGGCCCGCCCCGAGCCGCTCACGGGCCATTGGTGGGTTTCGGGCAGCCACGGGGCGCGGGCTAATTTTACAGTCCTATCAATGTGAATATTAACATGTCAATGTGAATATTCACATTGTTAACGGGTCGCAGGTGGGGTTTTGGCCACCCATGGGTTGCGGGCCAATTTTATACTCTTATTAATGTGAATGTTAACATGTCAATGTGAATATTCATATTGTCAGCGGGTCGGGCCGGGCCCGCCACGGGCGGGCTTTTGGCCACCTATGGGTCGCGAGCCCATTTTATACTCTTATCAATGTGAATGTTAACATGTCAGTGTAAATATTCACATTGTCAACGGGCCGGACCAGGCCCGTCCCAGGCCGCGGGCGGGTTTCGCGCCGCCACGGGACGCGGGCCAATTTTACACTCCTATTAATGTGAATGTTAACATATCAATGTGAATATTTACATTGTCAACAGACCGGGCCCGCCCCGACTCGCGGGCGGGTTTCGGGCCGCCCACAGGCCAATTTTATATTCCTACCAATGTGAATTTTAAAATATGAATGTTCGCATCATAAAATTGCTAACCGTTTAAAAAATATTTATAAGGGTATCAAAATTAAATATAAGAGAATAAGTGTCCAAGAAAATAGTGTAAATCAAGAAAAAGGACTTTATGGAATAAAACTATACATACATGGGACTAAATGGGTTAAAAAATTCCTTCATAGACTTCTTGGGTTAAAACACTTCTAAATGGGATTTATCAATAAAAATCCTTTTTTTTATTTGTTATTATTAATTAATATAAAATGAAAATACCCATTTTACCCTCACCCTTAACTTTTACAAACCCTAACCCTAATCTCCACTATTTACCTAACTCCGGCAGCTCCAGCCACTACCCCTTCTATTTTTTTCGACGATATCCCCATCATTTCCCACATCCGGCGCAACCACTGAACCACTCCCCTATCTCCGGGCACAACCCGTTTCACCCTCACTTCTCTCTCGCCACTACCACCGCTCATAATCCTTCTCCCTTCTCTATGCCACTGCCTCTACAAACCCACTACCCCATTTTTTCTAATCTACAACCCCACCGCTTCCGCCCTCCGATCTACAATTGCAACCTTTTTCTTCTTTTTCTTCTTCTTCTTCTTCTTCTTCTTCTTCTTCTTCTTCTTCTTCTTCTTCTACTCAGCGCCGCAACGACCCCTTACAACTCACTGTCTCTCTTTTTCTTTCGCGCGCGCAATTGTTTGGCGAAGGACAATCGAACAATGATCAGTGGTTCAGGGAGATGAATCTGGACTGTTGCTCTTTGTTTGGCAAAATAGAACCGAACGCAAGTCATTCGTTCGATACTGGTTGTCCGATCGAGAAGAACGAGGCTGGACCTCACCAAATGAAGGAGATGAGGAACGAGAAAGAATGAGATGGGATTGAGTAAGAAGATGAAAGGTTACACCGAAGATAAGAGAGGATTTGAAGGTGGTGCCAGAGGAGGAGGTGGCCAAAGCTGTAGAGATAAGTTGGGGTGAAGGGTTAGGATTTGAGAAGGTAGGGGTATTGTTGGTACTATGTTGGGGTGAAAGTGGTGGAGTAAGGGTTTAATAATAACAAATAAGAAAATGACATGTGTCAAAATAAAATATTTTTGTTATTCTCTCTAAACGACGTCGTTTTGGATTGGTTTTGGCACTAAAAATAGCTTTCTCTGTTACTTCTTGAAATGGAGATGGACGGAGAGCTTACATTGTGACACGGAATGAACTACAGGGTTTTAATTGACAAAATTAAAAACTTGGGGTTTAAATTGCAAAACACGCTAAACCTTGAGGTTTTCTTTGTAATTTTCCCTTAATAAAATAAAATATCATATCAAATTCATTAATCATTTCACTTTTTTTCTCTCAAATATCACATTTAATTATAAAAAAATTCAACCATTTTTCCAAACATAAATATTTTAACCTATTAAAATAGTCAAAAACTAAAATAACTTACTAAAATAGCTAACTTTCCAAACGAGACCTTTGAGTAGCGATGTAAATTCTGCCCTGCCTATATGAGCTTAGGCTTGCCCAACCTTAGATTTATTAGTTCTCACAAGAAATTGGTCAGATTTGGGTTGGCCTGGTTTTCAAAAATCTAATTTCGTGTCTAAACCCCAGGCTTAGGGGATAATTGGGTCTGAAGCGGGCCTAACAGTTTTGTTATTATTATTATTATTATTTTACTAAAAGAGCTTGAAAAAAATGTTGAGCATCGGGTGAGACAAGTGAATTGAGCCTTAGTATGGGCCTTAGATCGATCCTTGGGCCTTGGGCGTGGCTCAGACCCTAGTCCAAATGGTCGGATTAGGCCAAGCCTGGGCGGGCTTTAAGCCAACAAATCATTTTTACACCCCTAACTTTGAGTTAGAAATGTATTAGATATTTATTGTATAAGATATTATGTGATATTGGGGGTGTTTGGTGCAGCTTTTTTAAGCCAACTTATGGCTTCTGGCTTTTAAAAAGTTATTTTGGACTGTTTGGTTAAACTTATTTCAAACAGCTTCTGATTCTAACAACTTATTT